TACCACTACCACTACCACTACCACTACCACTACCACTACCACGACCACGATCACGACCACGACCACGACCACTACCACTACCACTACCACTACCACGACGACGACTACTACTGCTACTATTGGCCCCTTTGCCTGAACCATGAATGCCGGCTTCTCGCTATGCTCGCATAGCACGAATTTGCAAGACACACTCTATAGGCTCCTGGTTTTCTAGGGTGCCGCAGCCTCTACTCTATACAAGTTCAACTGGCCAATTTAGCCGTGCTCAACATGCACTGACACTATGAGCCGACACCACCCTGAAGCATGATCCCTGTTTGTCACGATGTTCACATCCCTCCGAAACAAACCTCGACCCGAAATCCGAACACTTGCGGCCCAGGAAACTTTTGCCCTGCAGCGCGGGATATTCCCACATCGAGGACGTGCTCCTGCACATGCTTTCTTCTTCGGCGCCTAGTCCGGAATTGCACTTCCATGAAAGCTGCATCTTCACACAAAGATGCGCACCCCGATGCGTAAGTATCAGAAACTTAGCGGCCTTTTGGTGGTGAAATTCATGTCATAGGAGAGAATGTGAGAGATTTGAGGGGTAGATACTCGAGTCTTTCTGGCGGCCGGCCTCCGCCACGTCGTCCCGGGCACGCAGCGCAAAAAGGAAATCTCTCTCCTGCACCCGGACATATCTATACCCAACTTCTAAAGTTGTTGGCGGGACGAGCTTCAAGGCAGACCAGCGTGATCCTTGCACATGTGATGCAGGATGCATGAGAACATTGTCAGATACGACCTCGCGTGGAGTAAACACTGTGGCTTGGTGTGTGTTACGACTTGACGGTCACCGCAAGCTCATCACGACTCCTTTTGAGTGAGATTTCGCATCGTCGTTGCCTCGGGACGTGCTACTGCTACAACTTGTACATCAAGACCAGCCTGGGGCAAAGCTTCTTGCTGGCCTCACGACTGTTCTAGATGCCAGGCTACTCGCTCTGAGTACGAACGCGGGTCACTGGACTACCGTGTTTGTGCTGTCGCCGCCGGATATCTCTTTTCCAAAGTTTCAATCGAAGCAGGCTGCGATTCGATGTTGGCTGCAGAGCATCTTCTCAATTGAGCCTCAGACATGCATAACTTCAAATCCTTACGAGTCAAGCCTTCAGAGCTGCCGGCACTCTCGCCCAAGCCCTGAACCCTCGACAAAGGCTCCAGCAATTCTTGTGCCTGGGGTGGCTCCAGGTTCCTAGTGGATATGTCATCCACAAAAACAGAAGCCCGGCAGCCAGAGTGGGATTAAGTACGACAGCATCTTTGCCAGCACAAGTTTCGCTTGAGGCATGAGGCCATTCCGAAGCTAGGGGGTCGTTCAGGCAAGGGGCTAATGAAAGTCAGCGTTGTGGGGCGCTAAGCCGCTAAGGTCCGGGCGTGGTAAGGCTCACGACTGCCCATACCTTTGCCATGACAAGTTGATGGTAGGGTCGAGGTCGGAATTCTGAGCCATTGATGGGGAGAAATACAACATGGAGAATCCACCAAGCACGGTCCCCACAACAAGGGGTTCTGCCTGCTTTGGTCGCGGGGTCCGGCAGTGTGTGCTTGCGTGTGTATAGCTCCGGCATCGTTTGGGCCCTTCTGCACGATGAAGGATTGCTGGGCCCTGTAACCCTGATCAAGATACGGGTTGAAGTAGGCCTTCGATTCAACAGCTCAGGATCGAATAATTCTCCAGTGGAAGGAAGCTTGCGCGCTACGGCACACCCTGAGATCATGGCAGCTGCGTCGACCGTGGATCACCTGGTGGCAGCAAAACGGCAAAAGCCACAGTTCTGTTCCTTGCACTGTGCACAGCAGACCTCCTCAAAATCCAACAAGTCGTGGGCCCATCGCGCAGTTCTGAGAGCAGGACCCAACGAGACTCCCAGGTCCCAGAAGAGAGACCCCAAAAAGGGTACGCCACAGAAAAAAGCAGAAAGCCTCCCGCCCATCCGAAGTGTAACTACTTAGCCGCAATATCTATACCCTGAACCCTTGTATAAATCTTTGCAACCACCTCAGATTCTTAAGGCATCTTGGGCAAAATCATCATTTGCAATTACGGTGGGGTGGGCCCGGCCTGAGCTGGGCTGGGTTGGGCTCTCCAACACGCGGGTAGTTCTCTAAATTAGGGTCCCTTTTTGGGTCGCCAAAAGAATATGGCACCCTTGTAAACAGGACCCTAACAGGGACGCAATTTCGAAAACTACCCATGCGTGGAGCTATCATCCTGAAACGTCGGCCGCGACGGGTTCACTCAGCTACTTTCTGAGACCGACTATTGCGAACTGTGATGGTCGTCTACATGGCTGCACACTCGCCCAAACCTCGGAAACTTTCTGAGTTGCCTCAGGACGCAAAGTATGTACACTCTGCCCCTCACACTCCCAACCTGGAGACCCGAGCTTCTGAATGTGAGGTTCGGGCAGAATATCCGCGGGAGCCGAGGCCCCGAAAATCAGGTTCAGCCTGAGTCGAAGAACTGGCACTCGGGGCAGAACAACTATTCAATATTCCTATCAAAATATGCCGTAAATGTGATGCTGGACGCACATCTATGTTTCGATAAGTGCGGGCGTGCTAATCAGGTAATCTGCTGCAAGGAGTGCTTGAGCGAAGCACCCGCTCGTGACTATACGGCTGAGGAGTCTCTGACACCGGCACTCGGGAACTGGGCAGGCAGGTCGGGATGTTTTGCATCGGGACTCGGACACCCCGCGTTTCAGACTGGGAACCTTTCTATATGTACCTTGTCCACGACATACTGTTCGTATACGGTGATCCATCACATGCCAGTACTGTATAGACGATGACTTTCTTTAGTAGCATGTGTGGACAAAGGTGCGTGTGTGTGTGTCGAAAATATTTGTGGCTCTCCCTCTGGCTTTGCCGAGACTGCGAGGCGATGCTTTATTGCTTGTGTGTATGAGCTTGCTTACATGTATGTGTCTGTGTTTGATTTACCTACATGTTTACCGATTCACGTGTGTATCTCGAAATGCATGCATGTAGTGCATGTAGGTACACATGTACGAAGTCTTGCTCTTACGCGTGCGATTATCGTCTGTGTTTCCTACTTTCCCTACGGGTAGACGGAGGGGAAGATACATAGCTATAGTGTGCAGACAAGCATATATCTGTAAGTTCTAGCTCGCGTAAAAAGCGTTGGAGAAATCCCGGTGTCTCCCTACTTCTGCATATATGTCAACATATATATATATATATTTACATATGCAGGACCATAACTAGAATACTCTATATATATATATATGTATATATGTACATTCCCATGTGCAATGGCGCCTTGCAGCGCCTTCACCTCCAAAGACAGTGCTGAAAGGGGCTGTGACATACAATGCCTTTGCATGGGCTATCATGTGTTGATGGCTTCGAGCGGTGATCAACTGAGCTGTGACATGCACTTTACCAGAGTAGGTCGACTTACAGGACATACTGCAAAGATATGTGCCGAACCATGTCCTGCCTTAGACATGTTATCGGGCCCAGCGTGTCTTGCGGGACAGCACATGCGAGCACGCCACGTCCGTGGCAGTTTCAGCCACAGAAAGCCCCAATGCTTGCCTTAGCACCAGAAAATCGCTAACATGACTGTGAATCTTCACTGATGGTCTTACATGTGGGTTGGTTCCCCAAGAGAGCCTCGGACATGTCCAGAGAAGAACATGGCGATCACAGGTATATAGTGAAGCTTGAGCAGAGCTAGAAGCTGCCTCAGCAATCGCAAATTCAGGGCCTTGGGCTGCATTCTGGATCTTGGGCCATGAGCAGGACCATAGCGAGCAACAGCACCACAAACCTCTTTCGTTGCAACGCACAGCGGAAGAGCAGTGCGTTAGACACCTCCTGCAAACCGTAACAACATCAATAACTGCTTGAACTTTGGAGGCACTGGGAAGAAACTCTCTAGACCCTTGAACCCTCCAAGCCGAAACCCAAACACTCCTTCGCATGGACAGCCGTGCCAAACCGAAACCAAAACACAAACACCAAGACCCCTACTCAATCAGAATGTCTACACAGAACCATGTCTGTACTCGGAAAGTCAAACATCTGCATGCGCACGTAGGTGTGCGCGAACACAAATACACAGCCGAGGGCTCCAACTTCAGAGTGCATTTGGGATGGCCACAAGGTGTTCATCCAACTCCCGAAATTCCAACCTCCAGCAGCCAACCCAACTGTCTCCGAGCGCCCAGCTGTACAAAGTTACTGAGCTCCTCTTGGAACGGAACAGGCCACGGATGAGGTCGGGTAGGTACAGTGAAGCTGAATATGTATAACTCAGAGGTCATCACAAGGGCTACGACGGCTACGAGTACCCAACATCCATTCGAGTGCTGCGCACGGTTGAGGAGCCGTCAAGTTTCACATCGGGGCTTCGTTCTGGACAATCGAAGAACCAAGCAAGTGAGTACGAGTGCCGGCGCTGCAAGTGCTTTGTCGGAGTCGCTGGGTTCGGTGACCGCCACGAAGCTACGAAATACAAGACCCACGACAACACTGACTGAACAAGAGTCCCGCCAGTGCTACACTGTGGCATTTCCAGCTAAACTTCCCGGTTGTCCTGCAGGCCGTCATCGTGCGCCATAACTCCAGGGTCCTGGGATGGGTGAGATCTCGGATGATCTCGGACTAGAGTGCCTCGAACTCTGCTAGAGAGTGCTTGCAAAGTGTGCTGCAGGCTTGGTTGGGCAAGCATGGGTAGGCACTGCGCTGACAAGGCGTCGTAACATGAAGCCTCCCACACTAATCCGAAATGAAACAGCACCACACCTGCAGTGTCGAAATCCCCGGAATGAGGAGGTTGAGGAGGAGGGTACTGCTTTTTTTTTGCCTTCGACACACCGGGTGTCGTCATCGTGGCTTGCATTTCATGCTCTCTTAGACTGATGATTTGTTGGTGTGCAAACCGATCCTAGATCCAGGTCCCGCTTAAAATCAGTGCACAGCAAGCAGGCTGTCCTGTCAAGAGGGTCGGCCATCAATCCCTGCCCACTTCGTGTGAAGGTTTCAAAAACATTGGATTGCTTAGCTGCCGCTGGGTTGGTTGGCTTTGTGCCTTTGCACGGGCATGCCGTGCATGAATCTGAAGCCTAGCAAATCTATCTGCCACAGAAATGTTGGTTGCCAACGATGCCCTCTGTTCTTGCTTCCAACTGTCTGGCATGATGCAATGGGCTATACAATGCTCTGCAACTCCCGTTTGGGAATTGCTTGGTTGTGAAACACCTTCGGCGGCAACGCAGTTGGACCTGAATCCCCAGCGTATCAAGAAGCTCAGCACAAGTGTCGTTCGCATCGATACCCCACGAATTCCAGTTGAACACTCGTTACGTCTACACCACCATAACTAATGCAGCTCAGATGGTCGTGGAGGTTTCTGGGTCGGATCTTCAGTTCTCTGTGTTTGGAGTCTGGGCTTGGCAGTTGAGAGCTCAAGGGTGTCGACTGTGACGTCGCAGGTCAACGAGATGAGACGTGTGCTAGCCGGGCACTCCTCAGGATGGAACCATATTATGATGAAACAGAAACTCAAAATGGAAGCATGCCGCTCCCTGAAATCCAGGCTGTGCGAGCCACGAAGAAATCTATAGTATGGAGCGAAGCTGAGCGGAGCCCAATGAACCTCTCCAGAGCAAGAGAGCGCACGAACAAAAACGCCGACTGTGCCACGAAGGGTTTGATCTGTAACTTTTTGTCTCCGGCGGTTGTCTGACCGCATTTCGGCTCCCTCTCTCGGACCATGTTTCTTCCAAGAGTTGGAAGCCTTTTCAACACACTTTCCACGGGCACATCGGCACTCTCAAGTGTGCTGCTGTACATGATTTTACTGTGGAGGCACCCTGAAGCCAACTATGCGAAACATGGTCTCAACCTTTGGCCGAAGCTCCTCCGTCTCGCTTCCCTCATCGGCATGAGCATTTGAGTCCTCACCGGTCGTTGCCGAAGAGGCATCCCCAGCATTGGCATCTTTGGGCCGCCCGCCCCGTGGCAGAAGATCACCTGTGTCCTGGTTCGTAGTGGCGAACTGGGCGTCCATCAGATCGAGGCCCTTGACTTTATCGTGTTTTGACACCCCTGGCAGAAGTGTTTCACCAGTGTCCTGCTCTAGGCAAGGTGCTCGAAAGCATCCCGAAGTCAGCTGTGCCAGCTTTTGCAAGCCTCTGTTTCTGGCGCCGCCCGGCGCACAGTTGATGCCGACTGTGTGCAGTCTCGGCCGCATCGGGTGGCTCAAGTACTGAACCTGCACTTGCGTCAAAAGATCTTCCGTTACATCCGACTCCCCATCTGTAATAAGATATATGGCTTCGGCACGCTTGTAGGCGAAAGCCAAACGCAGAGCAGCACTGAGGTTGCTGATGCCTCCAGCCTGCGCGTGCTGACAGAACTGCATGGCAGCTTCCACGTTTTTGGGCGTCGCATCTACGAGGTCGTCCTGAAACTCCACCTGGTAGTCGGTGAATGTTAGGATATTGAAGCGCCGCCCGGTCTTGTGAAACTGTTGTATCAAGGCCAAGTTTACAGCACTCGTAACATCATCCAAGTATGCCTGCATGGATCCAGAGGTATCCACGACAAAAACAACACTGTCCTCCGCGATCTTGCCAAGCAGCGACCTGACAACAACGATGGTCAGAGACTGGCGGTCGGTGAGGAAAGAGATGTCCTGTGGGATGTACTCTGAGCCACTGCCGGATGGCTTCACTGAGAAGACAAAAGGCTCAAGCAGCTCCAACGCCACCAACACCTGGCCTTGCTCGTCACTGCAGAAGCTCATCCCCCCCTCGTCGGCCAGTGTCCCATTCTCTCTGAAGCAGGCACGGAGCTCGAAGTCGCAGAAAGGGGCTGGCTCTCCGTAGGGCGTCATGAGGCTCAGGCTCACATTCACCGACTTCGTCTCAACTTTGTGAGATCTTGGCTCGAAGTCCCCCGTTTCACCCACCTGCAACTCGAACTGCATCGGCACATACGGGGACTCGCCCTCCGGCTCCAGCGCGAAAACCAGCTTTCCAGGAGGAAGCTCTACTCTTGCCATCCCTGTGCTGGAGGTGATGCCCTTGGCGATATGTGCCTGCAATCGCTTTCGACCAGACCTCACCACGAAGGGGCATCCCCTGGCCGGCTCGTTAAACCGAGTATGAAGGGCGATCTCGCAAAGAAATCGACAACGCTGGACACAGATACGGAAGCTTTGCTGGCCGTCAATGTCCAACACTTCCAGATCGTGAGCCAATGGCTCGACCGGCGAAAACTCCTCCGGGCCACCATAAGAGGCGATGTGCAGACCCACGCCCAGGCGGCCTTTCACGCGGCCGTGGCCCTTGGTGACGAGCTCAACGGGCTCTGCTCCCAAAGTGCGCTTGCGCCGCGTGATTTTCAGCGGAAAGTTGCGGAAGGGCTTGTCAAGATGATCTACGACCTCGAAGCTGCAAGCTTTCTTCATCTTCGCCAAGAGGACAAGCTGCAAAGGCCGAAACAGGGATGGCACTTCGATCTCGCCCGGGTCCAGCCTATCGTAGTGGCATCCCGGGTCACAAATGCAGCTGAACTTTCCAGGGAATAATACCTCCATTGCCCGGCCCTCCTCATCGGTGCTGCAGCGATGCTCCGTGCCAGTGCTGTGGAACACCTTCAACGTCAAGTTCTCTAAGGGAAACAACGGGTCACCCATACCGTTTTCTGCTCCCGGGATGGGTGCCGCCTCTACCCCCGGAGGCAGTTCCGTGCAAAGCACACGCATGCTCACAGGAATGCGAGTGAACTCCTGAAGTTGAGCACAGAGATCATCGATTTTAGGCCACTTCTTCGAGGCCACTTTGGAGAAGAGAGTTTTGGCCCCCTGGGCACAGGCCTCCTCCCCGAAAACTGCAGAGCCGTGACGTGGGTGATGCTTGTCGCGCATGACCCGCACCTCTAGGGCATAGAGCGTGGGCACCTCTACCAATACCACTTCAATAGATCCTTCGAAGAACTGGTCGAGGTCCTGCTTGAGTGCTTGTGCCTTCTTCTGGTACAAGTCCCCTTCCAGGCGCACAGAGAACGCGGCAGAGGCCGGCGTACCGCCGCAGTGCTCGACTTGGATGAAAAACTTGGTATCAAGCCAGCGACTGCTGCCATCCCCGAAAGAGAGGCTCTCTGCCTGCTGGTAGGCCCTTCGCCGCGTGGCCGACTCACCACCCCCTCTCGCGCCCTTGCCTTGACTTCTTGATGCAGTGGCTGGCATGCAGTTGGCTGAAGTTTATAGAGGCTTAAGTTTTGGCCAGGTTGTGCTGCCGACCGACCCACTCAGTTTCTGATTCAGGACTTTACAAAGCTACAACCCTACTGTTTCCAGCTGTTCTACTCGTCAACAGCAGGGCTGGCTCCTAAACAGATGCTATGCTGCTATGCCGAAGTTTGCTTCCTACGCAAAGTGGGTGAAACACGCTTGAACTGGATTCGCCGCCGGGTCGAGTGTCGTCAACCCGAGGTTTTGGTGGGTGAAGTGAGCCCTATGTACACAGAGATGGGACCTCTGCATGATGAAGCTCGGTTCAGCAATGCTTATACAGATGTGTCATGCTTTGCAAAGCTCAGCTGGGTTTAGGGTACCTTGGGGCCTTCCCTCCGAGATTGTCCGGTGTGCAGTGCCTTTTTCTGCATGCACCGAATCGCAAGGTGGACCTGTGCCCATCATTAACTGCATTGGCTTGCTCAAATTAGGGCACCACGCATCGGCACTGTTGAAATCCGCCGTAGAACAATGGAGCACTTCGGTTTTTATAAGACTGCAGCACCTGCGCGCAGGCCATGTCCATGCCATTTGACGTCATGGTTCCTTCATGATAAGCAGTAGTGTACTCAGTGGTGACTGCTACTGGGGAGAGGAACTTGCATATGAACGCAGCAATCCAGCAAGATCCTGTCATCCTACATAAGTCTCAGCCAGGAGATCAAGGCTTGTTATAAGATGCTTCGAAGGCTTCCATCATGGGAAAAGTCAGAAACCGGCCCTAACATAATCCCCTTGACTCTCGATACATGCTCTTGTTGCTCTTTACAATGTAATTCCAAAAAACATCTTGCACATTTGCATTGGCTCACAGCCCCGCCTCACTTTGGCGGCCCTGCCGGAATGGTCATTGATATCTTGCCCCAAATGACGACAGCAACGTTTGGGTTTTTTGGTTTCAGCGTGGGTTTCAGGCGTAGTGCCAGAGAGTGCCAGAGGGCTAGTTGCAGGAAGCAGCAACATGCAAACATCGTTAACCTGCAACACCACGAACGGCGGCTCGCATAACTTCGGTACATGGGCTTCGGGCACGAACGACGCTCATGGTCCCAGTCACCGTCAGCATCCGGATATCTACCCTGACAAAATGTCTATACTCCGCCTCCGGATAAGAGAGTCGCCGACGACACTCCTCAAGGGAGGAGTGTAAGGCAAGGGGCCTTGGAGAAAATAAGGGTCGCACCTGCCAGCCTGAGGGCTACTCAGCGTATTTTTTGAAGGCACTCAAGAGCGCAGATAAAAGCGCAGGGTGTTGGAATTATGTAAAGGTTGGGAGTTTAGAAATGTTGAAAGTTCGGCTAGGGGTTGCGCTCTCACAGCTCGTACTCAGCCAGGTATTGCAGTCGGGACCAGGAACGCGAAATCAGAATCAGCTCCAGCGAGGGATACCTCGTCAAAGGTCCAACTGCACCCGAGGTCACATCTTCTGTCAACACTCGGGAGCGCACTGTTCCCTTACGGCGGGTCTAGGGTTCAGGTGCTTCTCCGGGTTCCCGCATCCATGCTTGGTCTGCGGGCTTAAAGCTACAAGAACATCCCGTAGCTGCGCTCCAACACAATGTGTACGACAATGTACGACTCTTCTCTCCCAATGTAAACCTCATGTAACCTCGCCGCCCAACCTGCAACCTAAACCCCCTAAAAGATACACATACAGGGAGCGACTAAACTCGAAACCCTTGGCCTCAACCCAATGACCCCATAATATAACCCTCCACTGGCGCAACTTATTAGAGCCCTAGGGGTTATTCTCATCCCGGTCCTTCTGCGTGGGGGGGCTGGCCACGAGATCCTCCAGCTCGGCGAGGTCGTCCGGCGACAACTGGAGCGGTTGATACTCTCGCAACTCGTACATAGCCAAACGACTGGACCGCTTTCGGGTTTCGGGATAGTATGGCACATGCAGGCTACCTATCGGCTTACAAACCTCCTGCTGCCCGCCCATGCGCAGGGATTTAAGCCGACATTGGGCCTCCGTGGGCGCAAAGAAGGCAGAGGAGGAAGAGCTTGGGGTTGGCCCCAGCCGATCTGGGCCGGAGGTAGGCCTGCGCATCAGCAGCACTTCTCAGTAAGGCCCTCAATAAGGGCAGCAGTGTCGAATGTTAAGTGGCATTGGTCTTCAAGAGTGAGAAGGAGAGTTACGACCAGTATTGGGAGTCAAGTCATTAGTAACATTAGTACAGGAATGCAACTTCTTCTTCTGGTCAACCAATACCGTGCAGCAGCAGCAGAAGCAGTAACAACCACAGGCAGCAGTAGCAGCACTATCACTACGAGTAGTAGTGTTGGTAGTAACCGTAGCCGTAGCAACAGCAGAAGGAGGAGGAGGCGGCTTAGGAGTAGAAAGGAGCAGCAGTACAAGCAGTAGTAGTAGTAGTAG